TTAGTCTTCTGGAACTTAGATTATCTTACAAAATCGTTTGCTTACTTTCATTCCTTCATTCGCATTACATACATCATATCTTGCTTAGCTTAATCCGAATCTACATTCGATAGTGTAGTCTGCATTACTCTCTTGGGATTTCGGTACCCCTTATACTACAACTGCTTTTGCTGTGCACTTGCAGTAGTTTTATTTAGGTAAAACCTGAGCCCTATCATGGGACAATGCTCTTAAAGGGATAATTACATTCTTAAAGCTCAAAGATCACTTTAATATGGCATTGGTCTGTCCTATGAATCTTGTGCTTTCGTCAGAACCAGAGACCAAGTCTGGAGAATCTTTCTGAAGGAGCTGTTTCTATCCTTCGAGCATGTTGGGCAGAGGATTCTAAAGCTCGACCCGAGTTCAAAGAGATTACAGTTTCACTTACAAAATTGCTTAGAAGCTTATGTTCAGAAGATACTGCTTCGTAAGCCAACGTAGCTACCAAGGATTCAACAGGCAATCTGGTGCAAGATCGTGTTGTTTGTGACTGTCCGGGGCTGAAGGTGATGAACAAGAAGATGAAGAAGAAAACCAAAATGATGAATATGATCGTTCCTTTTCTCAGTATCTTCAAAAAGTGTATGTCCACGTGAAGAAAGTAGAAACTCTCCATTTCAAAACAGTGATAAAAAGAAAGAAAAAGTTACAACATATTTCGTTAGGCTGAGCTTTTTTTTCTGATTGATTTGATATTTGAAGAAAATTTTTTTGAGTATATTTGTCGAAATTAGAAGAGGAATATACATCTGATCATCAAGTTTGATACCAATAGCTATTAGTTTTTTTAGGGGTGTGTTAAATAGCTAAATTTATTTCAGTTCCGTGAAAACATAAAAATAAATTCATGTTATAAACATCAGTTGTTACCGTTACGAAATTTAAAAGAAAAAGAAAAAGGAAAGGATCTTCCAGCTTAGTAGTTTCAAAATGAGTGTGAGTATTACAAAAAAATAGTAATAATAAAATAATATGTGAATATTATAGCTGATTTTGCCACCGGGTTTGTGTTGCATCGTCTATGTAATTTAGATAATTCATCAGATTTGTTTTAAGTTTTTTTCGATAATAATTTGTAAATAGCATATGATACAGTTGCTTTTGGGAAAGTTAAAAAATAAACCAAAAAATTCACTTGTGATATTCATTGGTGTTATATTTGATGTTCATCGCAATCTTTTAATTATATATAGTCATGAACCACTAAAGAAGAGGCGCACCTGACATGTCAGCAATTAGTAAATTTATTGAGACTCTGTTAAGCCTCTTTGTCAATATGAAATGAGTCTTCTAGATAAAACCAAGTATTTTGTGGCTGATAAATTCGATGGGGTTCCTAAACCGAAGGGTTCGGTTACAGACGTTGATCTTAAAGGCATGAACCGTGACTCCGTCGAGTACTTCGCCAAATTTTCAGTCACCAATCCTTATGGTTATGCAATTCTAATCTGCAAGATCAATTTCACATTCCAAAGCACTGGCCAGGAAAAAAACTTTTCTCCCTCTTTTGGTTATGTCATTTGGTTTGGATCATATTCATTTGTACTTAAGTTGAAGCAGGAATACTCTATTTCTCTGAGGAATACTTTTATCTACCATTTAGAGGTTTCTTCGATTTAGAGAGTTCTTTACAATTTATGAATGGTTATGAGGTTTATGATATTCAAGTCCCAAACAAGAATTCAACTCCCATTCATAAAGATCTGATTGAGAGAGAGAGAGAATAGGTAGGGGAGAATTAAAAGGAGAGAGACGGAGAGAGAAAATAATAAAGTTGGATACTCAAAGCATTATTTTAGTCAATTGATCTTGAATAATATGTTAGGTTCATTTTCTTCGAATTCTAAAATATATTATGTTTTCTAGTCTTACCCTTATAGGTTGTATGTGTTGCGTATTAAGAACAAGTAAAAGAGATAAGAGTGAAGATCTACTTCGAAAACAAGAACAAGAAGTAGAAGGAGAGAGCGAAAGAGCAAGAGCTAGATGGAAGACATAGATAAAGAGAGGGAAAATGGAGAGAGAGAGAGAGAGAGAGAGAGAGAGAGAGAGAGAGAGAGAGGAGAAAGAGGAGGGAGAGAGAAATAGGTAGGGGAGAACTAAAAGGAGAGAAAGAGGGAGAGAGGAAATAATAAATCTCGATGTTCAAAGAATTGTTTCAGTCAATTGATCTTGAATAATATGTTAGGCTCTTTTTTATTTGGAGTCTTTTTGAATGATTAAGTGGGTGGGTTGAAACTAAGATTTTTATTTAAAGAATATTAGGGAGAGAGAAAGAGAGAGAGAGAAAGAAAGAGAGAGAGAGAGAGAGAGAGAGAGAGAGAGAGAGGTATGGAGATAATTAAAAGGAGAGAAAGTGGGAGAGAGAAAATAATAAAGTTTGATGCTCAAAACACTATTTCAGTCGATTGATCTTGAATAATATGTTAGGTTCTTTTTCTTCCGGAGTCTTCTTGAGTGATTAAGTAGGTGGAAACTAAAATATTTATTTGGAAAAGCTTAGAGAGAGAGAGAGAGAAAGAGAGAGAGAGAGGGAAGATCTACTTCGAAAAGAAGAACAAGAAGGGGAGAAAGAGAGGGAGAGAAGAAGAGAGAGAAATAGAAAGAAATAAATGGAGGAGATAGAGAAAGAGAAGGATAATAGAGAAAGAGAAGGGTAATAGAGAGAGAGAGAGACAGTAAAGAGAAAGGAAATAGAGGAGGGAGAGAGAAATGGGTAGGGGAGAATTAAAAGGAGAGAAAGAAGAAGAGAGGAAATAATGAAGCTTCATGCTCAAAGCACTGCTTTAGTTGATCTTGAATTATATAAGGTTATTTTTTCTTGAGTGGTTAAATGGGTCGGTGAAAAAGAGAGAGAGAGAGAGAGAGAGAGAGAGAGAGAGAGGGATTTTATTTGAAGATTTTTATGTTCTCTAGCCTTATCCTTTACCTATTAAGAACAAGCAAGATAGATAAAGAGTGAAGAGAGATTAGTTTTTGTCGTGTCTCTTATGTTTAGTTTTTTAGAGAATAGACAATAAAATGTTTTTAAAAAAATGTTTGAGTAGATAAATATCATATTGCAGATTATGTTTGTGTATTTTCAAATTTTATGCTTGATCCTAATTTGTTAGAGGCAGATAATATAAAAATAATACAAAATCGCTTTGTGATGAACATGAAAGAGATTGAAAGCAAGTGTTTTTTTAATATCCATATCAATATCAATTAGAAAGAGCATAACAGACATAAGTATTAATTTTGTATATAAATATATATGAAAAAAAGATCAATTAGTCCAATATTGGCAGAGGTTGAGATAGATATATTCTAAAATATGTTAATAACTAAGAGTGGAAATCTATTGATGGGAAGTTTTTCGAGTTTGCTTCTGTTTATGGTAATTTATGCGAAACCAGCATTGAATCCATTGAGATTTTAAATATATATATATATATATATATATATAATTTTTTTGAACCTTAAGTTGTATCATATTTTTGAAAAGTGATTAGTTTAGATGGAAGATTTTTTATAATTTTTTAAACAATATAAATATATTTATATAATTTTTTTGAATTATTTTTGGTTCATAATTAATATTATATTTATTACAGAGTTAATTAAAATTTGTTTGGCCTGCGCAAGGTGCAGGCAACACACCTAGTCTTTTTTATAAATATTTTAAAACATCTTTTAAATCTCAACAAAATCTTTATAAAAACAATTTTTGGATTTTTTCTGGACTCGTGTTTGGACCTAAATTTTAAACAGTAAATATTCTTATATTAACAATAATGCTCGAATCATTGACAATTAAAACACCACAGCCTTGGGGGTTACACACACCCTCTTCCTTACCATCATCACCCTGGTTTGAGCAACCGAGGTCTCGAATGTTTGAAAATTGCTTTTATAAACATTTTAATACATCTTTTAAATCTCAACAAAAACTTTATAAATCTTTATAAAAATAACTTTTGGATTTTTTCTTGACTCGTGTTTGGGCCTAAATTTTAAACTGTAAATATTGTATATATTAACAATAACGCTCGAATCATTGACAATTAAAACACAACAGCTTTGAGGGTTACACACGCCCTCTTCCTTACCGTCAGCACCCTCGTTCGAGCAACCGAGCTCTCGAGTGTTGGAAAATCTTTTTTATAAACATATTAAAACATCTTTTAAATCTTAACAAAAAATTTATAAATCTTTATAAAAATAATTTTTAGATTTTTTCTGGGCTCGTGTTTGGGCCTAAATTTTAAACAGTAAATATTCTATATATTAACAATAACGCTCAAATCATTAACAATTAAAACACCACAGCCTTGGGGGTTACACACGCCCTTTTCCTTACCATCAACACCCTCGTTCGAGCAACCAAGATCTCGAGTGTTCGAAAATCTTTTTAATAAATATTTTAAAACATCTTTTAAATCTCAACAAAAACTTTATAAATCTTTATAAAAACAATTTTGGATTTTGCATGGACTCGTCTTTGGGCCTAAATTTTAAACAGTAAATATTCTATATATTAACAATTACGCTCGAATCATTGACAATTAAAACACCACAGCTTTGGGGGTTACACACGCCTTCTTACTTACCATCAGCACCCTGGTTTGAGCAACCGAGGTCTCGAGTGTTTGAAAATCTTTTTTATAAATATTTTAAAACATCTTATAAATCTCAACAAAAACTTTATAAATCTTTCTAAAAACTTCTTTTAAATGTCATCAGACAGAATTTATAAAATTGAAAAGAAAATTTAAAAATCTTTATAAAATGCATAATGAAATAGCAATGTTTTTGTGTCTTTTGAGCGGCATAATGATCCAAACACCATCAAAATTACACACACTGAAGCAATGACCACTGGACTCTTTTAACCATAAATTTCGTTATTGCATTCTACCATAATAAGAAAAAAAATCAAACTAATGATTTGAAACAAGAAAGGGAATGTCTCTTTTTCACTCCTCTGCATCCTTGCTCCATCTCTTGTTTCTATACACAATTAGATCTACAACGTAAGAATTTTTTTTGTGGAATGCTTTACAAAAGATCATACTCTTGTTTTTTACCTGACTTTGGCAAATTACGGTGCTAATAACTCTGAGAAGATATCAGCAGCAAGCTTCAATCTTATATCCCCGATGTTTTCTTCAGAAAGCTCCGTCAAGCCCTTGATGCGCATCGAGTGGCATTCTATTAATTTCAATACGAAAACACATGTGTCTGCTATTTTAGCAACCTGATACAAAAGGAGAAGACAAATAAATGAAACGCTCTATTCAAAAATTTAAGGAAACATGATGACATTTATTTTCAAACAAGCACCTAACTTGTGGTACTTCTTTTGACTCTATTTGTATACTGAATTGAAAGGTAACCATCGTGTCATCCTGGGTAATTTGGCGAATGATGTAAGGAATTGTGTGTGCATACGCACCAATGTATGTATTCACCTGTTCTCTCGAAATCTTTGATGCTGCACAGTTCAGTACGGTTATCTTTCTCTTCTCAAGATGAAAGATCAATGCAATCCAGCATTTATACTTGATTCTCAACGGTGCGTAGATAATGCGGATGTTTTTCTCTATGCCATGACTGGTGAATTCAGTCCCGAATTGAAACCCGTCCTTGTCATCTGCAAAAATATCATAAATCTCGTCTATTGCTTTCAGGAACGATTCACCAACCATCAAAGCACTTTTGTTCCCAAAAAAAAGCGGATTTTGTTTCTTTCGCATCCTCAATAACTCCAAAGCTGCTTCCATATGCTGTAAGACAAAAACATACAATTTTAAGATGTTCCAAAGTTTAAAAAAAAAACATTTTTTGCAGGACTAAAATGTCTATAAACTTACCGCTTTCGTAAAAGCATTTCCTACTGTCTCCAGCGTGGTAATCCACTTTAGATCTACGTCGATGTCATTAATTTTCAGTGGCCTGCATTAAGAGTAGACAGTAGTTGTTACAAATATGGCATCACATTTTTTAAATAGCTAACGAAAACTCTACTTACAAATTTGACTATTTTCATTCCTTTATTTTCTCCATTTGCATCTTATCAACCGGCTCAAAATGATGAATTAATGGATGTCTTTTCCTTGCTCTTGTGTAAGATGGTTGTGTAAGAAACGAAGGCACCTGTTCTCTCTGGCTTCTTCTTGCTGGCACTCCATTTGCTTGACATTTCCTATCTGCTCTAAGTTTCTTCTTTTTAGATGTTGGTTCAACTTCCTAAAATGCAAAAACCATTTCGATGTTTAAAAAGTTGGACAAACTTGTAACTTAATCTTATTAACAGGGGACCAACTCATTTACTTATGTGTATCCTTCTGCAGCTCGTTTCTTATTTTTCGTCACACTTTGTAAATCTAACAAACCTCCTTGAGAATTTATTACATTTGCTTCAATTCCCTAGTCAAAATTGAGAATTTTCAAAACTTTAGCATCAGCAATACTAGTTGAATAAATCCCATAACGTTTTTGGTAAAGTCTTCAATTACCTCCTCATTGTCTTTGTCATCAGCTCTTTGTCTGCTAGTATCACCTCCATTGTCTTTATTTATGCTGTTTTGTAAACTGTCTTGGGAAAGAAGATTGAATCTTGGTGTAATATGCGATGAATCCTATACAAGCATAACAAGAAAGATGAGATATAGCACTCTGTTTATCAACGAAACACAAGTTTAAGTTTAAAAACTATAACATCAAGTATCTACTTTACCTCGGGTTTTTTTTATCACCACAATCTACAGTTGCCATACGAGATATATCATTGTTACAGCCATTAGAAGCTTCATCGTCGCCAAGTTTTTGGGTACTTTCAAAAATAACTTATGTATCTTCATTGTATCCAACAGAAAAACAGAAACCAACAAGGATTATAAGAAATTAATTTTTGGATTTAAACAAAGAGTAAAGATGAATCATCTTTACCTTCAACAACGGTTGTAGTTTCCTCATCGCCAAGATCTTGTGTCTTTTCAACCATAACTTATGTTTCTTCATCGCCAATACCAACAGAACTAGCATCTTTACCATTAATTCTACTAACAAAATCAGCTGTTTCTTCAACAACATCATGCTTTTATGTATTATCATCATCTGCAGCATAATTGTTGCTTCACGCCGAGAATCCTCTGACTCTGTATCATTGCAATTATCTTTCTGCACGCCATCTTCAGCAACATTTTCATTTTCCAATAAAAAAAGAATCAAACAATGCTTTATCGTCAGAATCAAACATTTTTTAAAATATTTTTATACTGTCTATTTTTACCTCTGATCCCTTGCCATCTGCTTCGTTTTCTTCTGGAATCCCTAAGACTTGCTGGATGATCTTCACTTTGTTGGTCAAGATCACAAGCATATTAAGTATCTTGTCAAGTTTTTCACTGTCAGTAAAAGGAGGAGGCTCTGTGGTTGTTCTAGGCTCTGCATTTCTTGCTTGCTATGTCAATATGTATTCAGATGCAGTAACAACATCTAACTTGTCGCTTATCCAGCCGGTTCTCCTCAATCTACAGCCTTGCTTGACTAGTTGCACAACCGCTGCAAAGTCCTTGTCAATAGGATTTGTTGGTGGAACCAGGTTCTTATATTCCTCTGGATTTCCAACAACAGTATTGACTACAACCTGCAAATGCATAGCAAATATAATTTTTTTGTAAAGCTTTATTAATGCATCAAAAACAGTATATACAATCAAATAAACTGAGAATCACTTACATTGTTTATCTGCTCTACACGCAAAACTTCTGAAAACCTGGGAGTCCGAGTGGCTTTCCATTGTAAACACAATGGGCCTATAGACGAGCTTGAATCAACTCGGCTCCCAAATGAAGTACCTAGTGCAGGCACAACCGACAAAGCCCACAACGTGATTGCCCATACGAATCCTTGCACTTCATACTGACCTTTTGCAAATGTTTTTTTCTTGCATCCTTCGTATACTAACGTGATTGCCCATACGAATCCTTGCACTTCATACTGACCTTTTGCAAATGTTTTTTTCTTGCATCCTTCGTATACTAGCAGATAGGACCTTGTATCCCATCTTCCCCTAAGGATGCAAAGAGTAAGTATCGAAATTTAAAAACATTGCAGACTCTCTCGTGATACCTTTACCGTTGGATTCTTAGTGAGTATAATCCCATGAGTCAAGATAGCAGCTCCAAGAGAAAGTTTCTCCTCACCAGACATTCTGTTCGCATTATTTTCTAGCAAATTCATCAAATCTTTCACCATGTACTTATCTGTCTGTCCTAGCATCCACATATATGGTTTTTTCACCTTCTCGTATGATGGTCCCGTTGTTTGGTTTGGGTTCTCCTCTGGCTCACAACAACGCAAGACTATGGTTAGGAAATATTCCCTGAGTGAAAATCGCATCGGTTGGTCTGCAAATGCAAACCACAAGTCTTCTCCTTGTGTCAAAATTATTCTTTGCATCAGGAAGTGGAAGATCTTTCCAGAAAACTGAATGTCCTCTCTCCTTGCGAGTTTGACAATCGAGCTGAGATAAGAGCTTTCGATCATACACAACTCCAAATCTCCTAACAGCTTTGTGACTTTATCCACATAGAGTATGTTCGAATGTTGCAGGACTACAATGGTGTTCTTTGGTTCAGTCCCGGATACATATATCCGTGGAGGCAATTTCAGTGTTGTATCAAATTCTTCTTCCATCATCTGCAAAGTTATACAACAACAATCTATTTAAATCTAAACTTGAAGTACATGCTGTGCATAATGCAGTCTAGTCGAACCATTGTTTAATCATTCGAATGTAATTTAAACACAACAGTCTTATCTATTCGAAACAAGATGAATAAAAACACCCAAAATCAAAAACAAGGCAACAACGGTAAACTTTGGCTAAAATGATATTCGTATGATCTTTTTTAAAACCAGTGAAATGAAATGATAGGAAACTGGGAAAAGAGAGAAAGAGATAGAGAGAGAGAGATATTTGTAAAGGCATAGAAATCTTTATAAATCCGCAACCACAAAGGAGTTAGTGAAACAAATTGGTAATTTACAATTCATGAATCACATATCTTCCAAAATTGGTACAACAGCGAAACAAATCACAAAATTAACGAAAAAAAATTTGCGAATCACAAATCTTTCAAAATCGTAACCACAATGGATTTAGCGAAACAAATCACAGTTTAAATGAACAAAATAACGAATCACATACTTTTTTCAAATCCAGATTTCACGGATCGATTTTTTGCCAACTCTCTCTCTCTCTCTCTCTCGACTCGTGACGAAAAGTATTAAAAATGACTAGGGATAATTTCGCCAACTCTCTCTCTTCCTCTCTCGATTTCGACTGGTGATTAGAATTTTCCAATCATAATTCATAGATCGATTTTTCACCGACTCTCTCTCTCGACTCACTGATCACTGTTGATTTCTAATAACCTAGGGCTAATTCTATCATTTTTAGTAATTAAATAATTATTTTTATAAAAATATTCAACTTCTTATAGTATTTTTGAACAGTGGTACAATGAAAAGGTGTAGTTTTAAAAATTTTCATCTGCTTTTCGTCATCTATTTATTAACCAGGTTTTCAAATATCCACGTGGGAGGTCAATTACTGTCAGTCAAGCTAGTTTGTCATGGACAAACACCTCTTGTGACTTGTATAAAAACACTTGTGTGTAGACGCAGATCATGTGTGGGTTATATACAAGCGCACAAAGTCAACGAGTTACTAGTTTTAGATATTCTTTTTGTGTCGGCAGTGTAGTGTAGTTTTAGTTGGCATTTGAATGGAACTGGATGATGTATTTTTAATGGACACCAGAATACTAATGCTAAAGAGTTTAGAATATAAAAATTATAAAGAAGAAGTATTCTATATTTTATAAAATATGTAAAAAATGTTAAAATTGCAAAACATTTAGGAGTTGTAATTAAACCACAAATTATCTTTTAAAAAAATCATTTAAAATCCAGTATTATTAAACTAATGATTTAAAAATATATGTAATGAATTTTAAAAAAATTTGGAGTGATTTTATGATATTTTGGTAGAATTTCTAGTTAAAGAAAAAAAATCCAAATCTTATGTTTTACATTAAAATTTATAACAAATCATAACAACTTTGATAATTCACCCAAAATCATCTAAAAACTTATTAAATTTGACTGATATATAAACTGAATATCAGAATAGTAGAATAGCTAAATTATAATAAGATGAAAAAGCTTAAAACTGGAAAAAGCAGCAAATCAATAGAATAGAAAGAACTGAATAAATTCAAAATGCCTAAAAACTACTAATTATTAGATGAATAGCTTTTATCTATACTAATTATTATTTTAAAATGTGTCGAATGTATTCAAAAATAATTTGTTAGTTTTATTTTTTATCATTTCGTACTAGTTGTTATTTTGTGAATAGTATGTACAAAGGTGGACCTAGTAAGAATAAAGGTGGGTCACCTGACCAGGTAAAATTATCAAATAACGTTTAGTGTATATAATTAATTAAAGAAACTGCAGCACTATTGGCTATTTGTTGTGAATTGACACCCTTTAACCCAAGTTCAATTTTCCAAATGATTTTTTGACTTATATTTGTGTTTTTTATACATTTTTATAAATCTCATAAGATTGTTTTTATCCCTCAACCCAAATTCAGTTTCCCAAATTTCTTTGTTTGGCTTAAATTTATGTCTTTTTATACATTTTTAAGAAATTTTTAAGATTGTTTTTAACTTAGTGTATACTTATTAGTAAAAAGTAATATAATGACCCATGTAAATTTTATTTCTGGGACCGCCACTGAGTATGTATGTTGCAGAATTACTATGTTATGAATGGCATGTATTCATTAAAATTACATTTTCAAATTGTAAATAAACTAGTTACACACCTTTCAGTTCTACTAACATCTAAATCCCTCCAAATCATTTTAAATACTAGATTAGATACACCCCGCTTATTCTAAAGTTTATAAATCGCTTTCTAAAATTTGTAAGATATAAAGAAAACATTATTTTTATATGTTACTCAAAAAGACTTAAGATTAAAATTCTTTTTTTTTTGTCGACGATTAAAATTCTTTTATTATGATGTTTTATTATTTCCTATTTTTTCTTGATGTTAGAATATTTTTAAAATAAATTTGATATTTTTTCCTCAATTAATTATTAAAATTAGTTTAGTTAAAATATGGACAAAATATTAGACTATAATTTCGAAAATCTAAACTAAATTTGTTCTTTATTTCCGATTTTAGCTCACATCTTCTCGTTGTGATAGAGATATTTCACAGTCCTCTTAAATATTTTAGTAACTCTAACTCGAGCAAAAAGCTGAAACATGACAGTCCGAAAAAACATGTAATAAGTTAGATCGCTGGAGTTTACAAATCTAATGCTCGTCTCCTATATTAACCACCGACGGAGTAAAAACTGGTAAACATCCCGGAGGAATATTCCGTCCACCACCAAACTGAATCCGTAGGGGTTTTCCGAGAACCGAAAATTTAGAAAATTAAGCTGGCAACTGAAGCTTTTTGTTGTTCTTCCAGCTACAACCATAAGAAGAAAAAAAAGAGTTAGGAAAAATAAAATAAGGAACAAGAGGACACGATGAAGTAGTAATTGTTACCTCAGGAAATAATAGTAGAAGAAGTCAGCATAGAGTAATGTTTGAACAAGCCCAGCGATCCATGCTGCATCATCGTTATCACACAGTTCCATTTGAAATGTCAGTTTCAGAAAGAATAATCAAGACAACATGCTTTCTAGGTTCTACACATATCTATCTATTGATATCCAAATGCTAGTTTTAGTCGAATCTTACGGGCGAAAGGTACATGGAGCAATGAGAAGGATCATATAAACGACATGACATATAATGTCATAAATGCAAAACTTGAATAAAACTAATTTTAGCTTATGGGCTCAATCATACTGCATGTAAACTAGAGAGGAAGGTTCAGGGAGAGAGAGACGTACTTATCCAATGAACAAAGTGCGGTTCAGTGAAGTAACGGTAGATCCAGTTGAGGATGTACAATCCACGGTAGCCTCTGCAAGAAGGTGATGATATTGTTAATTCAAAAAAAAGTATGAAACTTAAAGGATAGCTGAATTTGAAGCCATAAAGTTTGGCTGGGGAACAGTAAACTATGTAAATAGGATACAATGCTATTCGAGAAAAGACAGATAGAGCAAAGAATCCAGATTCTGTCGGATACTCAAACATGAATAGGAATAAGATATTCAAACTGAAATATGGATTCAGTCAAGAGAAGTTTACACTTTTCAAATAAGCGAGGTTACGAAACGAAACCGTACCCAAGGAGAAATATGTATTGCCCGGTCAAGTTGTCGATATTTCTAGTCCTCTGCAGCAAGACAAGCTGAGGTAATATGGCAACAGCCTCCAAGTACAATGAAAACGTCCATAGAACCTGATATTGTAAAGCAGATACCAATTAATCAGCCTCTCAAACAAAAGAGTTACAATTTCTTTTTTGGAGAAGACAAACCTCAAGAAAGGTAAATTTTTCGTGTATGATAAGAGCCAAGAGTAAGCATGGAAGCACAAGGAACCAATGGCGAAACGTATCTTGCTCTCTGTCGTAAGTCCTGTGGACGGCCTTGTGATATCTCATGTACCAAACAATCGAAAAGGAACTTGCCAAGAACACCAACTTCATGAAGGTGTTGTAGACAGAGACGAAGCTCGTGAAAATATCCAGATAACGAGTAGCAAAGACAATGGCATAGAGTTCTTGAGTCTTCAAAGAAACACCTGCAAATAACCAATACGCATTTGATAATTCTCAATAATGCATGTTTCTGAAATCAGACGCCAACATATGAAAACTAAACACATGCCATTGCTTAATCCATTCAAAATCATTCGATTCCGTGTTTCACCAGTTGTATTTTTCCTTCGATCAACGAAGATCGAGATCAATCACTCCTAAATCGTAACAGAATTGAAACTCGGCAACCAAATTACCATCGAAACTCGTATAAGATCCATCATTTCTATTGAATTTTCCCTTGGAAATCCCCAAGATCGAGTGAGAATCAAATGGTTAACGTCAATTTTTGTGAGGCGAATCGAACAAACATTAACGAATTCAGCCAAAAACGAATCGCAATCTGATGTAAACGCAGAGATTATCAGCCAACTTTGGAGAAAACGGAGGAAATGTACATACCGGCGCAGGATTTGATGGTGTGGATCTTGAGAAGCAAGACCAGAACACTGGCCAGGTGAGTCATGTCACCTGCTAATCTGAAAATGTTCATCTTCGAAGGCGTTGCTCTTTCTTCAACGTCTCGTTTTTCTAAAATGAAGAACGAAAGATCTCTAGGGTTTTATGAAGCTCCTTGCTTCTTTCGTCCTTCTCCTTCTCCACACCGCACTATGGGTCAGTGCTAGATCTCGTTGCCGGTGGCTTTTCCACGAATTCTCTCGTCCTTTGTTTTTTTTTTTTCTTTCAATTTTCGTTATTTCTCTTTATTCCTTGGAAAACAAACGGCCAAAAATGGTAAGAAGATAAATGATATGTTGACGGATGAAAGAACGGAAGAAAATGAAAGCCCACGACTTCTCATTTTGGGCCTAGTTTTAGGTTACAAGATCGTATTACCCAACCGGATGCTTATCCTTTTATGGTCTCGATTATTATTTTTCATCTATTTTTTGTGCTATGGACAGATTATTTTTATAATTATTTAATTATTATTTTAATTTTAAATATAATATTTGATTTATAATATTGTTTTGATATGGTTATACATTAAAAATATACTATAATTTAATTTAAAATTTTATTAAGTGAAAATTAATTGTTAATCTAAAACTTAATCTATATATAAATTCATTGTCGTTCACCAACTTTTAAAATATTATAAAAATTATTTTTGTTTTAATTAAACTTGATATATAATTTTAACTCAACAACTATAAGTTTTCCTTTTATTTAATTTTAAAAAAATTATTTTTTTATTTTAAATAAAAATAAAATAACTTATCAAATATATTAGTACAACTAAAGCACCTGATTATTATGTTTGTATAGTGTTTTTATTTTATTAGTAGTCACAAACAAAACAATAATCAATATTCTAAACTTTTACAAATCTATAAAAGAACTATTGTTCATATAAATAAAAACAACATTTACATAGTATACAAAATCATTATTATATTGATAAACTGCAATTTTGATTTGGTCTTTCAAGCATCTGTAAATTATAAAAGTATAGATGAATAAAGCAAGTAAAACATATACAAATATAATTTCATACTAACTCATTCTTTTAAACAAAGTATGTTGAGTTTCTAAAAACTCAAAATGTTTAAAAGGTTCATTTGCATTTGGCTTGTAATTCAACTTAGATATTTTTCTTACACTACACATATATTTTGATGAACCTTTATAATTAAATTATTAATATATATTATATAAATAAAAATAACATTTACATAGTATACAAAATCAATATCATATTAGTAAATTGTAATTTTAATTTGGTCTCTGAAGCATCTGTAAACTATAGAAGTGTAGATGAATAAAGCAAGTAAAACATAAAGAAATACAATTTCATACTAACTCATTCTTTTAAACAAAGTATGTTAAGTTTTTAAAAACTCAAAAGATTTAAAATGTTCATTTGCATTTGGCTTATAATTTAACTTAGATATTTTTCTTACACTACACATATATTTTGATAAACCTTTATAATTAAATTAATAATATATATTATATTATTTTAAAAGAGTTTCTTAACCCAAAAAAAATCATATTAGTTATTCTTATATGTAGAGTTTGTAAGGAATTTCATTTTGTTGATGTGGATGGTCAGGGATATTTTTCTGACATTTTTTTTACATAAAAATTTGTATGCTATAGAAATTTCAATATAGAAATATAATATATTAATGTTTAAAATAGAGCTATGCTAGTCTATTTTCTGTAAATATATTTTATAAATTTTTGTAATAAGTAATGTATTCATAAAGTCGTATAAGCTTATATTTGTAGAGACAATAGACAATATGTGAAATACAGTTGTGTTAATTACAAGATTTATTTATTTATTTGTTATGTATATAATTTTTATGTTTCTAATAGATGAATGTTTTAGATTTTTCTAAATTGTGAATGTTTTAAATTTTTTTTAGAAATTACTATTTTGTAACCGTCTATCTATTAACTATTATTTAAGTTTTTTTGGAGCATTTTTTTTCCAAATACTCATTATATTAGAAAGAAAAAGAGTATATATTAATGTTATAGATTTAAATAATGTTTATTTTACTAATTCAAAAATGATTTTTTAATTTTATTTAGTTTTTGTTATTAAACTATATTAGTTTTAGTGGTTCTATTTATTTATTTTATGTGTATTTTAAAAAAAATATATAAAATGGGATTTTTATTAACTTTTTCTTGCTGATGTGGCAAAAGAAGAGCATAGTTTTAAAAATCTGACGTTGTTGATAGCTTAAGGAGCCCCAAACAATTGCTTTCATTTAGTATAGATATTAAAAGAGAATCCACTTTAGAAAAATAACCTTTATATAATGTATTATTTACTGAATATGTCATTGAACTTTCATTAGATTTATACAATTTATTAAATCTATTATATTTATTAAATCATTAAATGCCTAATTTTTTGTTACTCTTCTCATTAGAGGCCCAATATTTTGTTATCCTTCTTATAAAAGGCCCATCTTTATTTAAAATTTAGAACTATCTAATTTTTTTTGTCTTTCATTCGAAATTTATTAAAAATATATATAGAAAATGCCAAAAATAATATTATTACTAAATTTTATTTTTTCCAATGGACATAAAATATGTTAGGTCGGGGGTATATGTCAATATTCTTTATTTTTTATTTTTGCGATTGGACTTCCTAAATAACAAATCATATACCCAGAAAATCAAGTTTATATACCATGATCAATTTCTTCCCGTTACAATACAAAGCCTCTATTGGTTCCTCTTATATATATTATTATTAAATATAATATTTTATCACCATAATATATATATTCAATTATTTATATTATATTAACTATTTTTTAACAGCATAATATTAATTATTTAGTATAAGAAATTTCCATTTTCATTTTGTTTTGCAAAATTAAAAAAAAAACAATATAGAAGAAGAAATTATGAAAAAAGAAAAAGAAAATAGGAAAAACACATAGAAGAAGAAAACAAACAAAAATAAAAAGCTGAAGAAAAATTACAGAAAAAAGAACAAAAAAGAAAATAAGGAAAAGATGAAGAATAAAGAAAAATGTGGAAAAATAAGAGAAACGAAGAAAAAAACAGAGAAGAAAATTAATAAAAATAAGAAAAGAGGAAGAAAGGAGAAGAATAACATAAAAAAAAAACTGTAAAAACTCAAGTTCGATCTATGAAAGAACTAGGGTTTGTGGGTTTAAAGAGAAATCTTTTATTATAAGAAGCCGGAGCTTGAATGAATATACGGAGGTTTAGATCGTCGGAATAAGAACGCCGACCTAAACTTTTATGGAAAGTAAATCGAAAGCTAAAACAATCAAATTGCTTAGTTTGCCCTAGGTCTCGATAGGTGATTTTTGGATGCCTCTGAGAAGTCGGAGACTTCCTATATTTATAGCTGACCAGGTCGGTCTTCAACATGTTTAGAATAGGAAAGTCTTCTTGCCGACAAGAAAGAATTTTCTTTTTTCCCAGGTCGCTCGATAAATGGAAGATTTCCATTTATATCGCCGACCTGAAACTTGTTAGATGGGCCGACCAGAATTCATATCGGGCTTGTAGAGATGGTACGAATCTCATCTCTAACAGTAAGTCCCCCCCCCCAGTTCGGTAAGTGAGGATGCGTTACTTGGCGAATTTTGAGAAATGATGCTCGATGTAGATTCTGGTCGGCTGCAAAAGAGTTAGGAAAATATAAAATGTAAAATTACCTTGAATTCAGATCGGCACGATCTCATGGGTTAGATGGTGAACTTGGGCGCGAGAAATTCCCGCCAAAAGCCTTATAGGGTAGGCCTAGGTCTGCACATGCAGAACTAGGGTTGACACATGTCAAACATGAGAGGAGGAAAACTAAGGGGCCGGTTAAAAATAACGAAAAGAAATGCGAAAGGTCATCGATCTAATGATTACTCTCGATAACCGCTCTCATTTTAATATAAATAAGAGTGGTTCGGCTCTCAATTCTTTACTTCTTCGATTTAGCGAAACTCTGTCAAAATCAGGTTTGCTCCCCTTTCTCTCTTCTCTGTTCTTCATTTATTTTAGTTAGAATTTTCCGGTTAGACCTCCGCCGCGTTTTGTTTCAAGCGTCGCCTTTGATTTCTCCGATTAGTGGAAGCTCCGTCGCGTCGTTATAGGCAAGAGTGTTAAGATTAGTGAAAGTCGACCAGAGTTGAGGACAGTCAGATCGGCTAAGGAATGGGCTGACAAAGATCGAGATCTCTCTGGATGAATTCCTTCAGACAGTAAGAGACGATCAGGCCGTAAGAGGGCGATCGAAAGGAAAACAGGTTGTTGTCGAAGAACCAGAGTCAGATCGGTCCTCTGATGCCAGCATCCTATCCGCGCTAGATCGTGCCTTCCAGGAGCGAGAAAATCAAAAGGCCACAGTTGATCGCTTCCACGCCGACCAGGTCGGGGCTGTTCCGATGGGTGGAGAATCATCTTCTCGGGAACCGTTCTTGATCCCGCAGTTAAGAGATGAGGAAGACGAACGTGGTGGTTCGAATGAGATGGATATCTCGGACGAACTGAACACACTCATCGTTGAAGATATCAGTTCGGCATTATTGATCTGAATCCTCCTGTCAAGAAAGTTAAAAGGGAAAAGGGGGAGCCAGTCATAAAGCCGATCTGTGACAATCCCCTGGGGGTAATGCCGACCAAATCGACGATGGAGTCGTTGGTCTCTTTGAAGGAGGAATGCGACATTGGTCCTGAAGTCGTGTTTATGGTGCCGAGCCCGTCTGAGTGGCCATGACCACCAGGGTGGTTCTGCATCTATGAGTGTTTCTTCAAAGAGTTCCATCTGTGGTTTCCACTCCCAAGACCTTTGCTTGAATTTGCCGATCACAAGGAGATGCCGATCTCTCAGTTCTTCCATTCTACCATCCACCTGATAGTGAGTATGCTGGTGATGTCGATTAAGCATAGAATCCCGTTGAACCGAGCTGCGTTTGACGTGATGACTAACACCAGAAGGACAAAAGAGAAGTTGCAGAATAGGGGTTCGTACTACACCAGTATGAAGAGAAAATTCAACATCGTCACTGGTGGCCAAAAGTCGAAGGTCAACGACTGGAGAGATAGATACTTCTTTGTGTTGATCAACGAGTTCTCCATCATCGACAGGGATGTGCCGATACGAACGAAATGGGCGGAGGTCATGGGTAGAAAATTTACCCGACCAGAATATGTAAAAGCTGTGAACAGTTTTGACATTCCTTCTTTTTGTCGACTGACTCATTTTTTGTCCTTGC